AAAGAAAAGAAGAAAAAGAGAAGCATGGGACTGCCCACCGACCCTGGCCTCAGTTAGGTCGGGCGGTGAAAAATATGGAGACAACAAGATCACACCAAGTGAGAAGAACTCTCACGAAGAGAAACGAGAGAAGAACTATCACAAATAAAAGATCATTTATGTAGTTTCTGAACACTTAACTTATATTAAGGTTTGCTAAGAGTGATCAACACAAAAGCATTCTATATCTTTCCACCATTTTTGTTAAAAACCAAGGCTCAACACTTGATCTTGGTAAAGTAAATACTTGAGAGTATTCCTGTTATCCTTTGTATGTCTGGGTTTGTCTCAAAAAGTGTTCAAAATTTGATGGACTATAAATTTTAGGTAAGACTTTATTGTATTTATAAGGCTAATGCACAACTTAATAAGTCAAAATAGCGAGTAATCGACGCGTCTTGAAATAATATTTCATACAAAATTTTCACATAATTATAATGACACACCCCGATCCTAGAATCAGGGCGTGCTGGCCGTCACGTGGGCGTGACGTAACCAAAAGTGCGATGCGGAAGCAGTAGATAAGAGAAATACGAAGGAAAAAAAAAACCAACTACTAGCAATAATATCCAACTAGCATGCTAGTGTAAGTTTAAGTGTGAAACATACATATTCAGAGTATAAGTACTAGGTGCAGTCAAATAGGATCATAACTAAATTACAACACCCAAAGGTGAGTCTTACATTTATGTAGTCTGTCAGAATGTCGTGGGAATCCTCGTGAGCCACCACACCGCTAACTAGAACCTGAAGGGGCGCAAAACAAAATTGAGTGGGTCAGTAAAACAAAGCTTTTCGAAAACACTTCATTTAATAACATTTCTAACATCTCGTTGTAAAACATGTATACTTTCCCAGAAAATAACATAATATGCATATAATTCTTCAAATATCTCAAATCACCAATCTTTATCAAAACCCAGAAAGTATGCCATGCTATAAGCATCAATAACAAAATAAGGATGCAACATTATAACAGGTGAAATAAGGAATCAACCGGAGACCCTGCAGTTGGTCATGTACGGTTAATTCTATAGCTCAATATCCAATCCAACCGGAGTCACCATAGTGACCTGTACGACGCTACTCTGCACATAAATCGGAACTACCTGAAGTAGTCTGTACGGTAAGAAAGGTGTAATAATACGCTCTAGTGCTTCTCTCATCAACAGCTGTATAATAATCTAAAATCACCTACAAGTCGGAACCACCTCTCATGGTCTGTACGACATGTCGGAACCCTCTAATGGTCTATACGACATGCACCTACTTGGATCCAAGGTGAGCGTGTGGTGCGGGTGAATAATATAAGCACTAACACCAGGGGTGCAGGTTATGAGCTCTCAACGCAATTCACATCATCGATAAACCATATGAATAACATAAAACTCACATGATACTCACCTGTGCGTCCACAACACCAATTTACATATATGCATCAAATACTAATTCATATATTTCATATAATATGCATGCATGGCATTTTAAAACATATTTTCATTTAAATTCAATTTCTAGGAAAATCAATAGTATATAGGTAAATACAGAAAATACTACCCAATCACTGGTATGTCGAAGGGTCGTAACCCCCATAACGTCCTTGAATGCGCTCGTCCTCGGGATAGGTATCACCTATATGCGAAACAACTATAAAAACGTTATTTAAAGCACATAACCGACAATGCGTCATAACTTCTCATATGATGCTCAATTTGGGTATATGAATATACCACAGTGACCTACTCGACGTCACGGACGTTGAGGTATTTTTAGAAAAAAATTTGGACTTGCCACGCGCCCTCACGTGCCGGGATAGGCACGGGTCCATGCGCGTCATCCCCTACCTCCAGTCGCCGAATTGGTTTCGCCGGCACCAGAAAACTGGAGATTTTTCAATCTCCTTGTTCTCCGTCATTTCTCAACCATTTTCTACGCATTTTATACCAAAATGAAGCCCTAAACATGTAGAATCACGATGCACTACTTTAAGGCTAAAAATCACACGAAATCTCACCGAAGAAAATAAAAAAAAACCGGCCAACTTCGAACCCTACGATCCCGACGTCCAAAATCTTCAAACTAAGTACTCCGAGCTTCCTTGGGACCTCACTAAGCTCCCTGTAAGCTTAGAATTCCCTAAAAATCAACAATTCACGTGTGCATGAACAATACTCAAATCGGACCTCGAGTTTTCAACGTGATATCGAGGGTTTCCAGTTCTAAAAATGGTACCATTCAACTCATGAGGTTGCAAGGATGAAGAAACTCACCTTTTTGGCGTTGATCCGTGAAGATTTGAGGGTTTGGTGCCTTGTCCGTACAATTCGAAGGGAGAGAGAGAGAGTGAACTGTGAGGGAGGAGAGAGAGGGCACGGGGTGAGGGTATGTCCCGTGTGTGTGTGTGTGGTCCAACCAAAACAACCATACTTTAATTCCCTAACCACACAAATTGTAAACAACTCTTAATCCAACTTGATTTTTTTCCAAAAACTTAGGAAAGTATACAATAATCAACTTATGTGTCACACGTACCTTAGTCACCTTAAGGGTAATTCCGTCAAATCACATCCACGATAACTGAATTTTCGGGACGGGCTGTGACATATAACCCATTGACCCTATATATCCAACATGTAATTTAAGAAGTTAACACTTATCCCAACACTCGAACTCTTGTATTTAAGTCATCATCGCTCCCAAAAGGTGTATATGTGATGCATGTCATAACTTGATGTACATATTTCCTTTTTCGTCATATTCCTGGAGTTGCTTGTACTTTATTTTCATTAGCTGATATCTTAGATCATGAACGTTTAATTGACTGCAGGTCTCAACTAGGAAAACGCAAGTTTAGGTTTTTGTTGTCGTTTGGGGTTTTTCAGAATTAAGGAAAAATACAGAAAAACCTTCTTCTGCTTGCGCAGCAGGCCGGGAGCTGAGAGGATATGGAAACTATGTACATCGTCGATCATCTGTCAATTCTATAAACCCTAACAAGTTGTCGTTTTTTCAGCTTCTACAAGATAACTGATAATATATATATATATATATATATATTTATATCTCTTCAACAGCATCTGTGCGTTCTCTACCAACTTTTTTTATTTTACTCTCGTCGATTATAACTGAAATCTCTCAGATTCTAAGAAGAACAAGAAAATAAGAAGAAGAAAGTGTCATAGTTGATGACGTCCATAAATGAATATCAGCATATTTAAGCAGGCATTGCATGAAAGTCCAAACTTGCATTCACGTTGTAGCCCTCTTGTTTTTGGTTCTAAGAAAATCTGTGTGTGTGTACAGCAGTTTAATTCTCCTCACCTTAATTAACAGTGTAGTAATGTTATGGAATGACATCGATAACCTTCGAATCCATGCTAACGAGAATACTATCGAATGAGATCGATAACAACATTGTTAGATTGTTGATCAAAATGTGGTGTATGAGAATATGTCGAAAAGAAAAAGAGAATGTTGAAATTCCTGGAGCGATTTTTTTAATTAGAGTTTAGTCATAGAAAGACTCATCATAATCGAACTCTAAACTTAGGGACGGAGTTGACTTACTTCCAAGGCTGGCTAGCATAAAACGAGTTCAAATGTTTTGCATTCATTTTGTGTGTGATATTTCTGTATTCTCTATCATTGATTAACACATGTTAATAAACTTAACATTCTTAACTTTATTATCATAAACTTAACACGTGTCAATCAATAATAAAAGTCATACACAAAATTAGTGTAGAAGCTTTAATCTCCCGTAACAGGCGAGTACGCGGTACTACAACCAACCCAGCGAGAAGAGAAAGAAAGACCCGTACTTAAAATAAAAATTAAATAAATAAAAGAAAAAGAAAAAAGAGTATTTCTCCATCGAGAGAGACAGAGAGTGTTGAAGTAAATAAACAGACAGGAGCCAAAACAAGGGCAAACAAGAAGAGTTTAAAGCAGCCTCGGACGAAGCCAAAGCCAAAATCCAATGATAGGCTCCAGGTAATTCAAAAGAATACAGTTTGTTAGATCAAATATCATAATATAAGTTGTTGAAAATTTAAAAAAAATTAATCACTTATATTATAAATTTAATATACCGAATCACAGTACACTGAAAAATCTTTATGGTAATTGACAACTCTCTAATATTAAGGGCTGGTTTGGTATTGCTGTACTTTGAAAAAAAGCTGCTGTGAGAATAAGCGGCTGTGAAATAAAGCCAGTAGAGTGTTTGGTAAACTTTTTTGTGAAAGTGCTTTTGGAAAAAAAAGCAGGATGATAGTGTGTCTTTTCATTAAAGGAGCACTGTAGCTCCGTGTGCTTTGAAAAAACTGGTTTTTTTTCAAAGCAGCAAATAGCAGCTTCAGCTTTTCCTTTGATTTTCAGCTTATTCTCACAGCAGCTTCCAAAATAAGCCATTTTTTTTCAGTTTACCAAACACAAAAATGACCTTCAGCTTTTTTTCACAGTGGCTTTTTTAAAATCACCTCAATCCCAAACGGGGCTAAGGGCTGGTTTGGTATTGCTGTGCTTTGAAAAAAAGCTGCTGTGAGAATAAGCGGCTGTGCTGTGAGAATAAGCGGCTTGTGAGAATAAGCGGCTGTGAAATAAAGCAGCAGAGCGTTTGGTAAACTTTTTTGTAAAAGTGCTTTTGGAAAAAAAAGCAGTCTGATAGTGGGTATTTTCATTAAAGGAGCACTGTAGCTCCATGTGCTTTGAAAAAAAGCCAGTTTTCCAAAGCTGCAAATAGCAGCTTCAGCTTTTTCCTTTGATTTCAGCTTATTCTCACAGCAGCTTCCAAAATAAGCCATTTTTTTTCAGTTTACCAAACACCTAAAACCCTCACAGCTTTTTTTCATAGGTGCTTTTTTTTTAAGCACCTCACTCCCAAACTAGGTATAAGTCAGCTCACAAATATTCAGATGCTAAATTAAAAAAGAAAAGAAAAAGAGAATTACAATATTGGCCAGTAGGCTAAATAGCCAAGTGCGTAAACGTCCAAAGAGAGAAGGAGAGAGAAAGAGGAGAGAGAAGCCACAGGACAGAAGAGCTCTGTCTTGCGGAGCTCCACCACTGTTCCAACGGCCTCCTTTGCTTTCTTTGTGCTTTATCTCTCTTCAAGCAGGTACCTTTCCCTTTCTCTCTCTCTGTGAATGTATATGTTTGAGTGTATGTGGATTTGGAGTTCTGGGTTTCGTTTATAAGTGCTTTTTCTGTAAGCACTTGGAAAATTTGGATCTGGGTTGCTTTAGTTTCAACTGGACTTTTGATGGGTTGTGTTTGAATTTTATTTTTTCAAGTAAAGTTGGGAACTTTTTAGGTTGATGGATTTTGGGTTTTTTTTTTTTTTGGCTTTTGTTTTCAGATGATTAGAGCTTGTTATTGGATCGATTCATAAAAATGCTCAAACTTTTGATTTTCCATTGTTTCTATTTTTGGGCGGTTTTTGAAAAGCGGGAGATTTGTGTCTCAATTGAACTTGAGTTCTGTTTTCTGAAGTGTCGAAAAGTCCGAAAAGAAGCAACCTGTTAATAGAAAGCAAGGTTTTTTTGCTGTAAATAGAATTGCTCCAATGGATATCGTTTGTAATTGCTTTTTGGCTTTGAATTTAATGCTTGAGACTGAATTTGTACAGCTTGATGTCCCCCTGGACTGGATCCACGTGATCCGGTCACGTCGAAAAGGAATTCCCTGCTGAAATAGAAGCCTCATTGACAACTTTAATTACAATCCCGGGAAGCTTCTCTTCTGATTTCACAGAGTATGCTTTGGTGAATCAAGATATTGACTTCAAACTTCAGGTTTCTCATCTGTTGGAAAAGGGTTTTTGAAACAATGTGCCCGAAGGCCGGAAAGTTGAAATTTGTGAGCTGAAATTGTGATTATTGTTCGAGGTGGTTGAGGAGCGGGATATTGGTATGGCTGTTGCCAGGAGCAACAGCAGCAGTGCAGCATCAACGTGGCCGTGCAATTGTTACAAAGTCGCAAGCTTGACTTCCTCCATTTTAGATGCAAACGAGACTTCAAATCTAAAAGATCGGTACATTCTAGGAGAGCAGTTAGGTTGGGGGCAGTTTGGTGTTATCAGGGTGTGCACTGATAAGTTGACCGGAGAGGTCTTGGCATGTAAATCAATTGCTAAAGATCGATTAGTGACCTCAGACGATGTGCGAGGCATTAAACTTGAGATTGAAATTATGACCAGGTTATCTGGGCACCCAAATGTTGTAGATCTCAAGGCGGTGTATGAAGAGGAAGAGTATGTCCATTTGGTGATGGAGCTTTGCGCAGGAGGAGAGCTTTTCCACCAGTTAGAGAAGCACGGTCGATTCTCCAAGTCTGATGCCAGGGTTCTCTTTAGGCATCTGATTCAGGTAGTTCTATATTGTCACGAAAATGGGGTTGTTCACAGAGATTTGAAACCAGAGAACATCCTATTGGCCACAAAAGCCTCCTCGTCTCCAATCAAGTTGGCAGATTTTGGTCTTGCAACCTACATCAAGCCTGGTAATTCCATATTTCCTTTACATTGGTTAACTTTATCCCGCTAAAACCTTGATTTCAGATTTTTGACAATATTTTTGGTTGAAGCAGGGCAGAGTTTGCATGGGTTAGTTGGTAGTCCGTTTTATATAGCTCCTGAGGTACTTGCAGGTAGCTATAACCAGGCTGCAGATGTGTGGAGTGCGGGCGTTATTCTCTACATTCTTCTTAGTGGAATGCCGCCATTTTGGGGGAAGACAAAATCACGGATATTTGATGCTGTTAGGACAGCTGACCTGAAATTCCCATCTGATCCCTGGGATCGCATTACTGGATCAGCTAAGGATTTGATTAGAGCAATGCTCTGTAAAGATCCTTCACAAAGGCTCACTGCTCAGCAGGTTTTAGGTAGGTCAAATGCACGCGCAAATACACACCACACACACAGAGTTTATTATAATGCTTTAACAGTCCGGACATCCCATTTTGGATTCTGATTGGCATCTTTGGACTGTGGAAGGTGATAATTGAAATTTAGTTAAGTTCTAGAAGATGACTGTATTAGAAGAATCAAAAGAAAATTTCATTTATTTGACCGTATCTTTACGTTAGATGATTGGTAGGCCGTTTAAGAAACTGGAGAAGGGCTCTCCTTTGGTTAGCGCATATATAGATATGGTCATCTATTTGTCAGTATTCTTCAAAAAATGGAAAATTATAACGTTTTCAGTCAAATAGGCCATCGCTCCTTGCTATTTGTCTATATGCTGTAATTCTTCTAAGAAATCAAAATATTTGCATCAATGACTCCTGTGATCTACACTCTCTGTGTTACTGGCAAATCAACGGAGTTTATAAGTTGGATTGACTTGTCTGTGTTCTTTGGGAATTTCCTTTGTAGATCATCCTTGGATGAGGGTTAATGAACCATATCCTAAACAGCCGAGTCAATGTGAAAATGGAGGCCGTGGAGAATGTGATGTAGCCGGCAGCTCATTCTGTACTATGTCCAGGAGTCAAGACATCAGCTTTGGCACTGCATCACATAATGCATGTGATGCCCAATCACCTACATTTACTTGTAGGTCATCTTTTTCTGCTCTCATGGTGGAACCATTTACTCCCCACTTAGCATCCGGCGGGTTTTCATTCTGCAGCGATGGTGATTCTAATAGTTGGAATTCTCCTCCCCCATTCCCTCAATGCCAAGCTTTGCATTCTTCAGCCCTGGTTCTTTGGTTGAGGAAGGTAGTTGTGCGATAGAGTTTTCAGCCAGCATATCCAGAGTAGACGCAATTCATGGAGGTATTTTGAGTTCCTTTTTGCTGTTCCCTGCACCAGTATCATAGAATTATCGTCGTCTCAATCATTTTACTGGGAAGCTGCTCTTGTTGCCAGGTTCCCTTTCGTTCAGACTTGAAACGAGACAAATGGTTAACAAACCAGCCGAAGCTAAAAGGACAGGTGGAACAAGGACGTCAGCCATTCACAACAAGAGAAACCGTACAATTGGACTTGGTGAGCACGAGCAACTAGATTTCATGGTGACCGAGTCAATCATTCGTTGGTCATCATGCACAAATCTTCCTACATCTCTGAGATCTTCTCTTGTCTGTTGACCGTGTGGACCTGAAGCAGTAAAAGATAAGGCGGATGGCCCCGATGCCCATGTGAAGTCCAAAGTCTTTCACTCGTGCATAGTATCAAGCGCATATGTTACAGTTTGACTGATTCCTACTGCTTAGTGCCACTCTTTTCTGTAATTTCGACTCCAAGTAGCTGGTGGTATGATCAGAGATATATAGGAAGAGCGACAGATGGAGGTGGAGGGTTCCGATGAAGTTTTCTGTAAGCTAATGTATTGTATCGTTCGTGTCTCTGTTTCCGTTCGTCTGATTTATGATGTTTAGTACCATTTTTCATGTTGGTAGTAGCTAGGAAGAGTGCTAAATGATGTATGCCTAATGAGCTTCTGCCCTTTTGTATAAAGTAATTGTTCACAGCATTGCTTTCCAAGTCTTGTGATATGTCTTTCTGGCCTTTTTTGGTTATCCACCCTATCAGTTTCGTCAGCGATACAAGCGGTATCAGGAGGGCCGAACACGAGATCTCTAGTGCATGAGTAAATACTTTCCCGCGTGAGCTACAAGGCTGCCGTAGGTATATTCTTGTTTACTAATACAATCGAAAGAGCAAAAAACTGTAAGTACATTTCAATTACGTGACAAGAGAGATAGAAAGACAGATCACCTGACAAGAGGGAGAACATTTGGTAAGAGTGGAAAACTGAGTCACTAAGCATGTAGGTAAAAGAAGCACCATCTCATTTTGTTAATGTTCTGCGCCAAGTGCCGGCCCTACTTTAGGAGACAGCATTCTGTTATTCATTGGCTTGGCCTAAATAAAAGATAATTAATATTATCACCACAAAACTATTAAAATAAGTTCCAAACAGTCTTGCTTTTGACCTCTCATACAAACCAATACTAATCAGCCATAACCTCACTTGTTCCCAATTTTTAAATTTTTTATGGGAGGGGGTTTGGACTCCAATTTTAGTGAAGAAATTTTTGTGTCTGACAGTTAGATTAGGTGGACTGTCCATTTTAATTACAAAGATGGGTCCCTCTATATTTGGGTGCTATTTTTTCTTGTATAAGAGAAAGACTTCCATGACACATGATAATCCGATTACAATGTGCTTGTGCTACATAAGTTGTTAAGTTGTTCTCAACACGTAGGCACAAACTACTAACCTCAAAGCAAGGGTTCCATGCCTATGTAAGTTGGTCCAACAGTTCACCTAATCTGATTATCGGGCACCCAAAAAAAAAATTTGCGTTATTCTACCAATTGATCTAAGGGAGTTTTAATAAAACACTCATAGTACTGTTCACTTTTAACGAAAAACCACATTTATACATTTTTCTAGTACTATTCACTATACCTTTAAAAATGGCTTTTTATTAAAAGGGAAGTTTTTTTTAATTTTTCGTTAGTTTTCGTTTGATCTAACTCCTATTTGTAGTTCACCTAATCTTAACAAATCACAAAAAAAAAGTGCCCGCCAAAAATGGGGTGCTGCAGGATAAACCGACTCTCTGGAAATTCCCAACTCAAAACCAGAATCCCAGAACAAAAACCTTCATCTCCTTGTCTTCCCCTTCCTACACTCAAACCAAAGATTCGAAAATCGAAGCTTTGTACCGTAAACGTCAAGACTTTGAGTGCCTGCAAGCTTGGCATAGCCAGATATCCGGACTTAGAATACAATGCTGAAGGTGGTGTAGGAACTGAGTCTGCTGCAGAGGTGACGGAGAGCGACTCGTTCGGAGATGTCTTGGTGTCGTTTGACATCGGAAGGCTCTGTATCGCACCGTTAGCAACCGCAACAACAAAGTCCTTGCCGTTCCCATTGCCGCCGTTTCAGTGGGAGCATCAATCCGGAATCCGGCCAGGTGCTTTGATAAAAACCAATTTCAGCGCCACGTTAACTTACTAACTGGTTAGTATACATTTCATAACCACTCTGGTTGGTACTTTTTTATGCAGGTTGATCCGGTTGGGAGCATCTACAAGGCTCCTCCGCTGCTGGGGAAGACGGCATTGACATCCGAGGAATCAAAAGGAACAATGACAAGCGGAAGAGGGGAGAGGTTGGACAAACAAGGAAATGCAGACTGGTTGGTGTGGCAACCGTTGATCCTATTGATGACTTTCTGATCAATCCTTCCTTGGCCTTCCCACGGAATGCCTCGCCAACCTGAATGCTATTATTTCCATCTCTAAGTATTCATAGTTTCACGAGAGAGGATCATCGTCCCTGCATTGCAGTCTTTTGCGTAATCAAAGTCAATGTCGAACGAAAGCAAAAGTATGTAGAGTCAGAGATAGAGAATCAACATTGAAATCAGCCTTTCCTCCTTACTCAGAATATACACTGTTTCCTGTAATTCAAATGTAGATGCTTTCGACCGTTTAACAATTGACGACAACAGAAATTATAGGTATCATCTACCATAAAAGTTATGAAATTTTTTCTGTGCTATCATTCTCGTTCTGTAACCACAGCCATCACTTATGCTATATGGTTATACAACTCACTTGTGTGCTCCGTTGTCGTTTACTTGTTTTCAACAATCGGAGATGTTTCGAAATCATTCAAATGCCAGCCTCTGAGTGCCAACCAGTGAAGCGTATTGACCTTTCTTGGCCAATAATTCGGAGTGGGTTCCTAGTTCAGCTACCCTCCCATCAGAACATAATGCAATTTGATGCGCATTCTGAACTGTGCTTAATCGGTGAGCAATCACCAACGTTGTCCTCCGCTTCATCAGATGGTCCAGTGCATCCTGGACTAGGCGCTCACTCACTGCATCCAACGCACTGGTGGCCTGCAGCAAAGAACAAAACATGAAAACCTAACCTGGGATGGGGCTTGGAAAATTGTAATGGGGAATGAAAGTGATGAGACTGATATTTCCAGATTCATTTGTAATGACGATCAGGACTGGAACTAGAGTATCAACGTGATTAAATCAAACTGGCAGTTTACCTCGTCAAGTATTAGGATTGGGGCGTTCTTAAGCAGAGCTCTCGCAATAGCGATTCTCTGCAGGTGAAAAGAAAAATAGAAAAAGCATAAGTACCACTGCCTCTCTCCAATTTCCTCCCTCCCTCTCTCTCTATCTCTCTCAACTGATTTTCATACCTGTCTCTGGCCACCACTAAGTAGACCTCCACGTTCACCAACCAGTGTATCGTAACCCTTTCAAAATCAAAATAAGCATTCAGTAAAGAACACACGAAATCACAGATTAAACACAACATATTTCAAGGACTACCAACCTGTGGAAGTGAAATTATGAACTCGTGAGCATTTGCAGCTTTTGCGGCTTTTATCACGTCATCCTTTGACACGTGATCATCTGGAAGCCCATATGCAATATTTTCTCCAACAGATACCGAAAAGAGTACAGGTTCCTGTATCATTTTAAAATGGGAAATGTATAAAAAAAAAATGTTGAAAGTATATGAGCAAAACCAAGGTTATATTTTGTGAAAATTAGGAAGTTTGTAAAAGTGTTATGTCAGATGTGTAGGGATTAGGTACGTTACCTGACTGACTATAGAAACAATCTGCGCCCATTCACTCTTGTCGAATGTTCGAACATCCTCTCCTGCAACAGTTATACGGCCTCTATTTGGCTGCAGAAATCAGACATTGAACTTATTCATAGTTTTCACCAACTGAAGACTAGTAAAATGAAATTGATGCCTCAAACATATAGAAAGAAGAAAAATAAGACCTCATAGAAACGTGCCAGTAGCTGTACAATAGTACTTTTTCCTGCACCGCTTGAGCCAACTAGAGCAGTTACAGTTCCACACTTTAGTGTTAGATTTAGACCATTTAGAACTTCTACATCAGGTCTCAAAGGATAAGAGAAATGCACATCTGCATAACAAAATCAGGTTACTCGTAGGCACATTGGAACACAGTATATGTGCATTCACTGTAGAACTTCAGCAGTAGAAATTCAACAGTAAACACTATATTCCACAATATGTAAATTATACCCAGACAATGCGCGTTATGGGAAACTTTGTATCTTCTTAACAACTAGACATTGGCCTATATGCAATGTAATATTAACTAAAACCACAATGGGGACAAACACAAAGCAAATGTGCTAATCCCTGCACTTCAATGAAAATGTATCCTAGATACCTTCAAGACAAACATCGCCAGACCAAGCTAAGCGACTAACGTTACTACCCGATTTCAGAGCTGACATGTAATGCGTATTTACTGACTGATTTGTCTCGCTCAGACCATCTATAAGGAACAATCTGTAATTTTCATCAAGTAATTTCTTTTGTTGCATTTCCCTTTCTAAACCATAAGCGAGGGCCTCATCAATTTCTACCCCAGATAAAACAGAGTTAATCCTCTCCACAGCAGCAAAAGTTCCACGAAGGTCTCCAAAGGTGTTAACCAGACCTTGAACCTGAAAGGTAGGTTACATCAGACCCTTAGCAATAGCATAAAGATGGAAATAGCAAACAGGTATAAAAAGTTTAAAACAATAGAAACTGAACTCACAGCAAATGTTAATGTGAAAGTATAACCAATGAAAGAAGCCACAGTTCCAACAGAGAGTTCACCCTGCAAGCAGGAAAAGTTTAGAAAAACATATTATGAATTTCTATAATACAATTTCTGGTAAGTTTTCCACCCGGGGGGGGGGGGGGGAGAGAGGGTGATTGACAATTATGAAGGCCTGAGTTGTTCTGCACAATTTGGTTAGCTGACAAGACGAGCTAGACTGAACACATGAATAGATGGTGGGAGATGAGGGACTGAATCTGAAGTAAACATTACAAGGGTTACAAGAGCTTACCGCCTTCACTTTGCTTCCTCCAAGACAATATAAGGCCATTAGAGATATGTAAACAACAACTCGAGTCAAAGATTCATTAACAGATTTAAAAGTCCCAAGCTTTATCCCACTGCTCTGGTAAGCTAGCACCTGCCAAACTCACGAGAAATTTGTTTAGTGAAAGGGAAGGAATTTCCTGTTTTTGTATTACTAGATTGCATTAGCTTACCTGTCTACCAAATGTTATCATTTGGCGCTTTTCCCCACCAAAGGATCTTACCTGCAATAGCATGTGGTTACCATATCGATGATAAAGTGCACAAACAATCTTAACTCTCACTCAATTCTGATTTCTTAATGACAAAAGGTTGATAGGGATTATGATTCTAAAATCCTAATGGTGTGCAAATAATATAGCTAAGGACTTCAGAAAACTTACAGTGCGTATGGCAGAAAATGTTTCTGAAACACAATCAGATATAGATGCTTGCGCCAATCCATGAGCCACGAAAACGGGCACAGTTGATCTCTTGTATACAGCTTTGAAAAAATTGATAACAGTCAAATCAGAGAAAATAATATGTTTCAAGCAACAGAATACCAAAATTTCCAAACTAAAGGCTACTGTTAAACATTAAACAATAGACAACCATTAAAAGGATAATTAAGTACAGATCGGATAATGTGAAGAACCTAATATGATGCAATCGGCAATTCAGATACTAACATACACAAATATTATTGGTGAAACATCACCAATTAAGCGTTGATATGATGTATAAAATATTCCTAATCCATTACAAAATAAAATAATCCTAGTTCTATTCTCGTACCATCTGCACCCCACGTTCAAACTAATTAAAAAAATGACAAAAAATTATGAACTTTCACTGAGGTGCTTGTCACTTCTAATCTGAGAACATTTCAGCATACTAACAGATTAATCAATATAAGCATGCAAATCATTATTAAGCTCTGTGAGGATTTATATAATTAAATCACATAAAGAAAACCGCAGTTTTATGTGACAAAAACATGCAATATCAATTTAAAAGAGTCTTGAAGATAAGATAAATACCAACTAAAATAGACACAGTGAGCATCAGCACCGCCAAGATTGGGGCAAGTTGGGGAGCCAACGTAAACAGTATGCATATTGTCCCGATAACCTATAAAAACAAAGAAAACAAGACATATATTAGACCCACATGAACATGAGTCGAAAATTAATCCAGATTTCTCCTGCAACAATTTGATTCATACAATTATAATAACCACATTCACAAAAAATAACTTAATGTCAGTATAAGTACATCCAAAAATCGGGAAACCATTTGGTGCTCTAGTGGTGAAACTGAGTGAACTTCAAAACCAGGTATTACATGCTTAAATGGAGTCAACATAAAGCTCACTTGTACTTGGTGGTAGAGTTGCTTGCCTCAGTAAGTGCCCTGAATCCTCGGTCCCTCGAAATGTTGTCGCTCACAACACTTTTAATAGAACCCAAATCAGATGTCAACAATCCCGTCAGTTCACCAACCTATATGGCGCAAATCCAACTCAATCAGAAAGTACAAAAAAAAAAAAAAAATCAAATAACTCTTTATTAAAAAAAACTATCACAAACATACCTTGTAACGGTCAAAAAATTCGACCTGCAACAATGAACAAAAGAAAAACAGGATCATAAATTATGAGAATTCAGGTTTGTATTAATCGATACGATCGAAAATGAAATGACTGGAGTTTTACCTTCTGAATCAAAACCCTTCCAAATATCTGGGCTCTGAGCGTGGACATAACTTTTTCCCAAATAGTATTCAAATTAATAACAAAAATGACCGTTAAAATTGGCTCCAATGCATACAAGACACCGACTTTACTCAGCAGCTTCCACAAAGGCTCCGGCCTCTGCCCAATCAGCACTTCAAAAAACCGCCCTAAACAAACAGCAAGTCAGCTACATTGGTTTTAGGGATTTTATTTTCCTTTCTGTCCATTCACTTTTCTCGGCAACCAAATAGGCAAAAAATCGAAACTTTGAAGCCAAGTTAAAATTCTGGTACCCGAAAATATGGGCATTGAGAGAGTGCAGGCACTGCAGCCGATGAGGGCGAAGGCGGAGACGGCGAGCCGGAGCTTGTGCTTGAGCAGGAGGCTCCATAAGAGGCCCCAGCCAATCACGCTCGGCGGCTGGACCTTTGCGTCCGACTCATCGAGTTTCGGGTCGGGCTCGCTGACAATCGCGTCGGAGGCAGGCCCGGACACGTAGGCGAATGAGGCGGCGGTGGTCTTTAGGGGTTTTGGGAGGCGGAGTGGAAACCGCGGGAAGGGATGTGATTGGCGGAGAGAGGAGAGGGCGAGTTTGGAGGCGACAGTGCGCGCGCGCGTCGGGGTGGGAGTGAGAGGGAGAGAGAGTATGAGAGAGGTCATGGCGGTTGCTCTGCTGCCGCTCTCGAGAGTGGATTGCTTGGCAGTGGAAATAGGGATTAGAACACGATATATTCGCCACCACGCGCCAAACTCTGAAAGTACATATCTCTCTCTCTCCGTAAATGTTTTTTCATTTTTTTTTAAATGTTTGAGGGAAAAACATTTATCTTTACGATCAACGTCGAAAGCTCGATTTTCTCAACATTGATATTGTTTCACAAGAGTAAAATAATCCATCAAAATAAGAAATTACCAATTTCATCATATTCGAACTTGATATTTATCTCTACAATCGAGATCTGAACTTGTGTTCCTTACATCAAAATATAACAACAATTACCAATTTAATCATATTTGAACTTGATATAAAGGTCGAGGCAAATTTCATATATGCCAAACAAAATGAAACCGAACTAACTACGCTTTGGTAACGTTCAAATCAATTTAGAGGGGTGTATTCAATTAAGATTCTAAGAGAGTTTAAGGGAATTACGATTTTAAGTGATTCTCTGAAATTCTAGGTGTATTCAATTAGAATTTCAAAATAGTTTATTAAAATCCTTAAAAATCCAGGTGTATTCAATTAAGATTTTAAAGAAGTATATAACATTCCAGGTGTATTCAATTAGAAATTGATTTTAAAGAATTTGAGAAAGTTAAAGAATTAGAGGGAATTGAAGAGATTTCGTAGTGTATTTTAAGTATCCACAAATCTCACATTTTCTCATAAGATTTTGAGGGAATTGAATCAAAATTTTATATGGAATCTCTACAAATCAATTAAACTCTATAAAAATCCATGGATTTATAAATCTATTAAAATCCCTCACATTCTCAATTGAATACACCCCCTTACATTTTTCATTTTGCAGTAAAACCAAATCACTCAAATTAGTCTAATTTAGAATGTTTAGATCGTTCAGTTAGTTTGATTTTAGCCTATTTTCAATTTATCAATCACAAAATGGAACATATTCATGTTAGAAATCCTTTTAACCAAAAAACTCAATCACAATTATATACAGAATATAAATTGATTGATTTTACGACGAGAAAATTATATGCGCAATATAAATTGATTTATAACTTTTGGTTTTTTACCATTTAAAGTCCTCGTTGTTACACTGCGTCACGGGCAAAACAGGGACTAAAAAAAGGAAATAAATGTTTTTTTGAGAGGGAGTGGGGGAGAGAGAGAGAAGTACAGCTTCAGCACGTTCAGTAGCCAGACACGTGTCTCCTCCAGAATCATCTAGAGTTGAGACCCTCACGAGATTCTGGTCTCCGCCCCATCGCCTCGATTCACCACCCAACACACACAATCCCAACGAAATCACCTCAACTCGTCGTCCCTTCTCGCTCCTTCACTCAGCTCCTCCTCCGCCCCCCCCTCTCTCTCTCTCTCTCCTCCTCCTCCGACGACCTCTCTGTCCTCTCTCTCTAACCGCGCGGTTCCATGCGACGCAACTAGTCGCATCTCCACGCGAACATTCCTCGCCAGCTCTAGAAACCTCCAGAAGATTCTCCCGCTTTTGACTTTCTGCTTCCGAGAATCCGATGGCGCAGCTTCGTTGCATTCTCCTCCTCGCTTTGCTCTCCTCTCTGCTTCCTGCTCTTCGCGCCAGTGATGGCGATGCTGATCCGATTTACAAGTATGCCCTTCCTTTCTGTAATCTTCTGTTTAATTTTTGAAAATACTTGGATTTTCGCTTTCATTTTGTTTCAGTTTTTCTGAGTTCGTATCAGTATCAGTATCAGTATTTGATTTGATTTATTTATATTAATCGAGCTCATAGAGTTGTTTATTTGGAGTATTTTAGTTCAATTGAATGCTCTAACTGTTTGATTGATGAGCTAGGTTTAGTTGTTTGGGTAACCAAATTACAGAGAAATTTGATCAAGTTTTCGTGTTTCCGGGGTCGAAAACTCGGAAATGGATTTGGCACACCGAATCAACGATTAGTGTGATGCTTTTGTTAACTGATGACACTGTTGTTAAAATCTCTGCTACGCATAGGCGCTAGGCCCGTATCCGCGCCTCACTAGCGCCTAGTGCCTTTTAGAACCTTGCTTGATGGATTTAGATTATGAACCTTATGAAAATTCTACAATCATTTAATGCTAGGGAAAAAGAAAAATTTTATACATAACTTGCATTTAATTGCTATAACAATGGTTATGCTGTGTCGTAATTCATAAATTAGATTCAGGAGCTTTACCCGAATGAGTATATTGGTTCTGCTATTTGATGTGATTTCATTTCACAAGTGCAAAATTTACATTCACGGAATTTCATTTCGTCATGTTTCGTGTATTCATCTGTTTTGGGCTCGCTCTGACGGTTATGGAATGATAATCATTACGGTTTTATGGGTTTTCCAGGTCTTGTGTGGCGGAGTGCGAAAAATCTGGGTGTGTAGGGGACACATGCTTTCAACACTGTAAATTTTCTTCAGATGGGAAACCTATTGATGGTCCGTGGTACATGCAAGAGCCCCTCTATTTGCGCTGGAAACAATGGGACTGTCGCAGTGACTGCAGGTACCACTGCATGCTTGCTAGGGAGGAAGAGAGAGAGAAACTCGGCAATAAGCCTGTCAAATACCATGGGAAATGGCCATTGCGACGTGTTTATGGCATCCAGGTCTTTCACTGATATTTTGTAGAGAACGTCGGTTGATTATTAATCTGATTAAGCTAATTTTACTTGCTGATATGGCCTAACCATTTTAATGAACTTGTTTAGGAACCCATTGCTGTTGCTCTCTGTGCTATCAATCTTGCCATTCAATTTCATGGTTGGATATCTTTTTTCATCCTTGTATACTACAAGTTGCCTTTGAATCCAAATAAGAAGACGTACTACGAGTATACTGGTATGTGGCACATCTATGGGATCTTATCAATGAATGCCTGGTTTTGGAGTGGGGTATTTCACAGCCGGTAAGTGGTTTTGAATTCCTCGACACCATAAGTAATTTATATGTACAAAAGTTATCTGCTCCAAAATGTCAACTTTCCTTAGACCTCGCAACCTATGGATTTATACAAATTAATTGTCGCAATTTATAACAGCAGGACAAGAATTAGTGTAGTGTTGTGCAAATGGATTTATACAAATCTTATGTTAATTGTTTTCAGACAGTTTTTAACTGCTTCTTTCTTATCCAATGTAGAGACGTAGAGTTGACAGAGAAGCTGGATTATTCTTCTTCTGTAGCACTACTTGGATTTTCACTCATTCTGACCCTATTTCGAGCTTTTAATGTGAGAGATGAGGCTGCAAGGGTCATGGTTTCTGCTCCGCTGATTGCTTTCGTGACCACACACATACTGTACCTGAACTTCTATAAACTTGATTACGGTAAGACATTTTCCAAAATGCCCCCGATATCATTGAATGATTAACCATATCTTTCTGTTGCAAATTCTAGTCAAACTTTTTGTTTGCCGTGTCAATGAACTTATACAAGTTTTGCAGGTTTGAATGTGAAAGTGTGCATGGCCATGGGTATTGTTCAGCTTCTTACATGGGCAGTTTGGGCTGGTATTAGTTGCCATCCATCGCGCTGGAAGTTGTGGGTGGTAGTGGCAGGAGGAGCCCTTGCCCTGTTCTTCGAGATATACGACCTCCCACCTTACCGAGGCTTTATAGATGCGCACGCTCTCTGGAACGCAATCAACATACCTGTTACATACCTCTGGTGGAGTTTTGTGAGGGATGATGCCGAGTTTGTTACATCAGCTCACCTTAAGAAAGCAAAATAGTAGATCTGAATCGAAAAGCATGAAGTGATCGAATGGTGGGTTGGATCAAAGACTCAAAATACATGACGTGCTCAGCCCTGTTAATCATATAATGTTTTCTTTTTTTTCTCATGCGTATGCGTTCCTCCGAAATGCTTACCGTGATGTGGTTCCCTTTGTTTTTGCATTTCCCATTGGTATCGGTCCAATTGTTTCCGCCGTGTACGGTGGGCTCCTTCTTCCGATGGAATCCGGATTCTCAGGTCATTGTGTTGGTGTATTTTTCCTGGGAAATCTCAGTTTCTAGATGTAAGAATTGAATTCTCAAGTTACTGTTTTGTGCTGTAAATCTTTGTGGAATGCCATTTTAGCATGTTGTATGGTGATGTTTAATTAGGGCTAGCATTTTATGGAGAAAGGTAAAGGTACCAATCGAAAAACAGTAAAAACCTATGCTATAAATGTTTTTGCTAGAAGTGTTTTTATTATTATCATGTCAAATTTTTTTTATTTTGATTGACGTCAAAATTTTCTGCCAACTGTCATCAACAACGCATTTGATTCTGATGATTTTAGCATATATCTAATAATAAAAAGTAAAACAAATAGGAATAATATCTCTCTTGACTCTCACTCTCACTTTCTCTGTTTTTCTTACTCCTTATTTTAAAAATAAAAATAAAAATATTTACACACACAAAGTACATAAGCATATGTTAGTATATAAAAAAGAAGACAAAAATAATGAAGTTTTCATAATTTAAGAATTACATTTTTTTTCTTTCACTTACAAATAAAAATGAATATCACTCGATTATAGTATTAAATGACAGACATATGATAATTAATTAATTAACGCGTATGACAAAAGTTTATTTATCTCTCCCTAAAATATATATTTTTTAACGTATTAAAAAAAATATGGTAAAGGTGATGCATTGCATTTTTGATATGTGGTGCTTGGGCTGCAAGTGTTTGACAGATAATTTTTGGCATCAGATACCAACAATACGCATATGATTCGGGCCCACCTTAGGGTTTTAGGAACGCAACCTCACATCTTCTACCACTTCATCAGCAACCAGATCAAATTTGCAGCAGCGGCGCCGTCTCTTCTCCGCCGCTTCCACGTTCAGAGGCCCCTTCAGTCTTCTCCTCCAGCCGGTAGCGCGCCGGTCTGTGAGCTCACCCACCTAACCAAAGATTTGATCTTTGTAATTTCATCCGTTTTTAGCTTTTGGGATTGGTTTAACCGTGTCGTTTCGATGCAGATGGGTAACGGAAAAGGGATTGAAGACCCGGAGAAGAAGAAAAAGAAGGAAGAAAAGGTAATTTTAAGGAATATTGCTTCTTTTGATGTTGTAATTGCAGACCCAGATGGATACTTATGTGAATTACTGGATTTTCGAAAGGGAGTGATTTGGGTTTTTGATATTTGGTCAGGCAAGAGAGAAGGAATTGAAAAAGCAGAAAGCTTTAGAGAAAGCTGCTAAGCTTCAGGTAATGATGGTGAATTGCATTTTGGTGTTAAGTTTTGGATTCAAGTTTCGGTGTCGTCCACACATTGTGTTGTGCTGTGTGTTGAATCATCTTATGATAATGTTAATGCCTGAAATGACTGGTAAAAGAATCAATTTGGTTTTAGGCGCAACAAGCGTCGAGTTCTTCTTCTAAAAAGAGTGAAAAGAAGCATGTAAAGCGTTCCAACCAGGAGGAGGAGAATGAAGAGGACTTTATTGATCCAGAGACTCCATTTGGCCAGAAGAAACGGATGTCGAATCTAATGGCGAAAGAGTATAGTCCAAGTGTTGTAGAGAAATCGTGAGTGTCATGGTTGCTCTTTTTTTTTTACCGCTTCTTCCAACAATTTTACTTCTTAGTTATTTATGTTATCTATGCTTGACGATTTAGGTGGTATGAATGGTGGGAGAAGACAGGGTTCTTTGTGGCAGATGCCAAGAGCTCCAAACCTCCTTTCGTCATTGTGAGTGTCATATCCATCAAACTTTTTCTTGGGTGTGCATTGATTTGGGTACCAATAAATAAAACAAAATTAACTTGTAATGTATTATAGGTTTTGCCACCTCCCAATGTGACTGGTGCCCTTCATATTGGCCATGCTCTTACTGCTGCTGTTGAGGTGATTCCTGTGTTTGTGCTGTTCTTTGGTGATTTTCTAAGTGTGTTTTCTAAAATAAAAAAAAAACTAATTTGATGTAATTTTGTTATATGCAGGACACTATAATTCGTTGGCGGAGAATGTCTGGTTACAATACCTTGTGGGTGCCTGGAATGGACCATGCTGGCATAGCAACACAGGTTGTGTTTCTTTTAACAATTACCGAATATTTACTATAGTTTAGTATTTGTGTATTACGATTACCAATATGAGCAAAAGTCATTGGCGGAGATCAATCTGCTGTGTACCTTTTATTTGGCCTTCTTTTGGGTGTGGGAGAAGGACCAGTTAGTGCTCGGGTTCGTATGCATGGCCTCGAATTTAGGCGCGTTTTGAAATGCCTTTAAAAGCACTGGACTTGAGTCAACAACACATGATATGTCCTTTTCGATTGGTGAATTGCTAATAGCTCATGTTCCATGAATTTATTAACCTTATCATCTTGACCATATGCATGTATATGAATTTGAACCTGGATTATGTATATGTCATATGTTATTTGTTTGCTGGCTATAACATAATGTGTCATTTATAGGTGGTTGTAGAAAAGAAGCTAATGCGTGAAAGCAAATTAACCAGGCATGATATTGGTCGTGAGAAATTTGTGGCTGAAGTGAGTTTGAACTATTACTAGCTTGTATTTTATCCATACATTTGATGTTTTAAAGTCAATTGATCCATCCATACTTTTTAATAATGTTGGTTGGTTATCTTTGATTGTGAAAGGTTTGGAATTGGAAAAATAAGTATGGGGGCACCATTTTACAGCAGCTACGTCGTTTGGGTGCTTCTTTGGACTGGTCCCGTGAGGTAATCAATTGAGTCCTGGAGTTCTTTTGGAGCAATGTATTAGTTGTCTTGTTAAACTGCTTGTTTTTTTCTCTCTCTCACACGCACACACACATGTGTATATGTTACTTATTTCGTTGATTTTTCCTTTGATTTCTTCTCAATTGTAGTGCTTTACAATGGATGAGAAAAGAACAAAGGCTGTGACAGAGGCTTTTGTAAGGCTTCATAAGCAAGGGCTTATCTACAGGTATGCTTGGCATAGGAGCTGTGTTCTTCTAGGTTTAACATGATGTTATGGTGGATGCTTGCTTTTTCTGGTTTTTGTTTGATTTTATATGTAGTTGTATTTTTTAATTGAGTTAGTGAGTTGGGATAAGGATTGGGTGATAGTACTAACCACCAAAGGACTTCTCCAATCAACCACATTTATAATCATCCTCTTGTTAATGTCCTTTTATTCATTTTGGCTAGTACACATTTTGGCTTTTATTTTTCAGGGATAATCGCCTAGTGAATTGGGATTGTGTCTTGCGGACAGCAATATCTGAAATTGAGGTCAGCCTTCTCCTTTTAGTGGCATACTTTCTCAAATATTTTCAGTACTTAATTATTTACGAATTTTCGGTCTATGTAGGTGGACTATATTGATGTAAAAGAAAGGACGCTACTAAAGGTTCCGGGATATGAGAACCCTGTAGAATTTGGAGTTTTGACTTCATTTGCTTACCCTTTGGAAGAAGGTTTAGGTGAGATTGTTGTGGCCACTACTAGAGTGGAAACAATGCTTGGTGATACTGCTATTGCTGTACATCCTAATGATGAAAGGTATCGGCATCTTCATGGGAAACATGCCATTCATCCTTTTAATGGAAGAAGGATTCGTATAATATGTGATGCAATTCTTGTTGATCCAGAATTTGGGACTGGTGCTGTGAAGGTAAATCTAACATATAAGTTGTGAAATATTACGTTGAATTTCTTTTCTGGTTTATGTTTCAGGTTATAAAGATTTGTTGATCTTTCTCTTTTGCCTCCTGCAGATTACACCGGCCCATGATCCTAATGATTTTGATGTTGGAAGGCGCCATAATCTTGAATTTATCAACATCTTTACTGATGATGGAAAAATAAACCAGGATGGTGGAGAATTTGCAGGGATGCCACGTTTCAAAGCCCGAGAGGCAGTGACTGAAGCACTAAAGAAGAAGGTATCTGTTTGCACTTTACAGGACTATACGTGTAGCTTATGCATAGATGTTGATTAAAAAAATTAACTCCGATTATCAACATAGTATGTCTTATTCATATCGATTGTTAAATGCTTACCCAATAGATCAACATATCTGTTGTTAATGGGGACTTCCTGGGCTTACTGCTGCTACTATTTCAGTAACACCTTTAACACTGTCATCGCCACCTCTTCCCACACTTCTTTAATATCATTTTCAACTTGATACTCTTTCAAACAATGTCTTATGGAATGAAATTGTTTGCATTCTCTTAATTCCAGACACTTCACTCAATTTAATATACCCTACTTGTAATAACATCACTTGTCAGCATCACCAGTTTTGTATTGCATGTGCATCAACCTTCCTAGTTGTTGGAGGGGACTGTCTGTTTGAATCCATTTCTGTTCACAATTTTATGGGTATTTCAGTGACCTTATTCTCCTTGCATTTAGGGCCTCTTTAAAGATGCCAAGGGCAATGAGATGCGCCTTGGAATTTGCTCTAGAAGTCAAGATGTTGTGGAGCCCATGATAAAGCCCCAATGGTATGTTAAATGCAGCGGTATGGGAAAAGAAGCCCTTCATGCTGCCATAGATGATGAGAATAGGAAGCTTGAGATCATCCCGAAACAGTATACTGCTGATTGGAAGAGGTGTGGTATTTTTCTTTACCTTCTTGGAATTTCTTGTGTATGCATTGTAAGGATAATAAGATCATACTTCCAGAAAGTTTTGAACAAGTCTGGATGAAATCTAGTTGTTAGCCTTGGGTCTCGACAATTTATATAAAAAAATCTCCAAACAAAAAGGTTAAACGTTGTACTTACTTCTGGTCTCAATTGTCACAGATGGCTTGAGAGCATTCGTGATTGGTGCATTTCAAGGCAACTCTGGTGGGGTCACCGTGTTCCTGCATGGTATGTTGTTTATGAGGGTGATAGTCCAGACAATTTTGGAGCATCAGATGAGCGATGGGTGGTTGCGAGAAATGAAGAAGAGGCCAAAGCACAGGCTAGTCTAACATTTGAGGGGAAATTTCAGTTAATGCAGGATCCTGATGTGCTTGACACGTGGTTTTCTTCTGGTCTTTTCCCATTGTCTGTGTTGGGCTGGCCGGATGATACAGAAGATCTGAAGGCATTTTATCCTACTTCAGTTCTTGAAACCGGGCATGACATTCTCTTTTTCTGGGTTGCTCGAATGGTAATGCTTGGAATTACTTTGGGTGGCGACGTACCTTTTACAAAGGTGGGGAACTTTTTTTACATTTTGTATGTATAGCTTTATCTGTGTGTTGCATATTGCCTAAATTATAATTTTCCAGTTGCCTGACTATGAAATTCAGTAGCATGCTGTACTTAAGGACACAGGGTGTTTTCTACTTGGTAAAAGCTTGAAGGAAAATAATTTTTGTGAAATTATACTACATTGTTAATACGAGTTCCATTTTACGTGTTTATATGTATACTAGCTCGATTGGATGCCTAGTGGGTATTTGTCAGAGACACATGCCTTTGCTCACCATCTTTAATTTTTGCAAAAGTGGTCCTGAGCATGCAAAGATGGTGTTGATTTTAGATTATAGTTTGGTTACTGAAGTGACAGGTTGAATCCGGTTGCTTTGCAGGTATATTTGCACCCTATGATTCGTGATGCACATGGGCGTAAAATGTCCAAGTCCTTGGGGAATGTCATTGATCCTCTTGAGGTAATAAATGGTATTACCCTTGAAGGTCTCCATCAGAGGCTTTTAGAGGGAAATTTGGATCCCAAGGAATTGACTGTAGCCAAAGAAGGGCAAGTAAAGGACTTTCCTAAGGGTATTGAAGAATGTGGTGCAGATGCTCTCCGTTTTGCCCTTGTCTCTTACACTGCTCAGGTTCAAGATTCTATCTTTATATTTTGGTTGAAAACTGTTTTTCTTCCATGGATCTAATGACATATCTGATTGTCTTTCCTTGTCTTTTCAGTCTGATAAGATAAATCTGGACATCCAAAGGGTTGTGGGTTATCGTCAATGGTGTAATAAACTGTGGAATGCAGTACGATTTGCTATGAGCAGGCTTGGGGATGATTATGTTCCCCCCTCAGATGTAAATCCAGATGCGCTTCCATTTAGTTGCCAGTGGATACTTTCAGTACTAAACAAAGTCATCTCCAAAGCTGTTTTGTCACTGGAAGCATACGACTTCTCGGATGCAGCCACTGCAGTGTATGCTTGGTGGCAGTACCAATTGTGCGATGTCTTTATTGAAGCTATCAAGCCTTACTTTTCTGGCAACAATCCAAGGTTCGAGTCTGAAAGGGGTTTTGCACAAGCCACACTATGGTTATGTCTTGACAATGGTCTGCGGTTGCTTCATCCATTTATGCCATTCGTCACAGAAGAACTGTGGCAGCGCCTTCCATCACCAAAGGATCACAAGAGGCCAGCCTCAATCATGATATGCGAATATCCTTCCACTGTAGAGGTTGGTTGGTTATTTTTTTCTTTTCAAACATAAATTGGATGATCCTGTCCACAGCCTAAAGCTAGAGGCAAATGATCATGCAAAAAAGTACACATGCATCATTGTTCTTCTTAGGCCGTAAAGGATTACTCATGGGAATGGTGGTTTTCATTATCACCCATATGACCCTGTACTTTTCTGATGATGTTGTGGAGACAGTATGTTTAGTAACTTTCTATCTTTGTCATTTTTACAGTGCTGGACAAATGAAGGGGCGGAGTCCGAGATGAATCTTATAGATTCTGTTGTGAAATCTCTTCGTTCACTTGCAAAAGAAAGTCGTGAAAGGTATATCTTGTTAGAGTGAGTCTGACCAATTTTGATTTGCCAAGTTGTGAATTTCTCTAATTAGGGTTTATTTCTTTCAGGCGGCCAGCTTCTGTGCTTTGTCGAACACCATTAGATAGGGAAATAATATGCAGCCGTCAACTGGAGATTGAAACGCTGGCCAATTTGTCATCTTTGACGGTAAGTCATGTGATGTATTCCAAAAATCCGCTCTAGCAATTTTCTATCGAATTTTACTCTTCCTCAACAGAAGCAACAAAATTATAGAACTTCTTTTTGACTGCAAATTCAGTTAATATGTGAGAATTTCTTATCCGAGCAGGTAATCAACGAGAACGATGCTGCTCCAACTGGTTGTGTGGTGGGTGTTGTGAATGAAAACCTTTCTGTTTATCTTAAGCTTCAAGGAAGTCGCTCATTAGAAGCCGACCTTGAAAAAATCCGGAAGAAGATGGAAGACATTAAATTGTAAGCTTGTGATTGAAATTACTTGGTGACAGAAAGCTCAGATTAAATTTTAAAACTCCTACATGTTTCGAGTGGTGACGACTGTTTGATTAACTAACAGGCAACAGGAGAAGCTATCCAGGGCGATGAACGTAGCCGGTTACAAAGAAAAGGTCCCGGAGAAGATTCAGAAAGCTAACGCGGACAAGCTTGAATCACTCGAGAAGGAAAAATTGTCTCTTGAAGAAGCAAGCCAGCATATGGAAGCACAGATATCGGGCAACGAGCAGTAACGACTTACAATATTTGTTCAATGACCTCGTAGCAACATGCAGTTAAGACTCCTTTCATTGCTGAAGGATGAAAATTGGCTTCTCATATATTGTCCAATTTGAAAGTTGATCAAGAACTATTTGTTCGTATTACATTACTCGAAATTTTGCGTTGTTATTGATAATTTAATGAGATTTTCCTACATTTTTGAATAATTATTTTTTCTACATTATTACATCATGCATAAGTGCTTCCGTACAAGTCAAAATATTGTGCGGAGCAAAAGCACTTTTGCAAGGCAAATATCACTAAAAAAACGAAATCAAAATTTGACGATTCTCCCGGGAGCTGCTTTTTTACATTGTAGAGTACTGGTTTGGTAGTAATGTGCTTTTATAAAAAGTTGGAATAAAAAAAAGCTAAGCTTAAAAAGGGGTTTGGTAAAAACAGATAGCACAGCAAAAGTTATTTTTTCCAAAGCATAGCAATATCAAATCAGCCGATTAAGACTAAAATTAAATGGAAAAACTCCATAAGGGCACGTCAGCACAAACATCCACGTCATCATCATCACTGTAATGGGGTGGAGGCAATAGCATTCCTTCCGCCATGTCTGCCAGCAGTCCCGGCATCCCGAAAACCGCCTCCTCGTCCATATAGAACACTTGTTGCTGCTCCGATGCGGACGTGGACTCCGATGGAGCCGCCACAGGAGATCCACAAACCTCATCCGACTCCTCAGTAGGCCGAAACGCCTCTGCTGCTTCTGTGGCAGCCGTCTGAATGTCCTTGGCGTTGGAAGAAGCCGGGACAGGCAGCCTCCTAGCGGAGTCAGCAAAATTAAGGCAGGCGGACCTGCCCCTCAGTGCAATTGCCGCCACGTCGTGCGCGCGGGCGGCCATTTCTGCGGTGGGAAAAGTGCCCAGCCAAATCCTTGTCTTTTTGTTGGGCTCGCGCACCTCGCACACCCACTTGCCGGAGTTCCTCCTCCTTACACCCCGAAACACCGGGTGCCGTGTCTCTCTAAACTTCTTCCGTCCAGCCCGCTTCTTCGGGCAAGTAGACGCCAGCAGTACCTCCTTGTCCGACAAGGTCAGGAACATGGGGCGAGCACTGCTGGTGTCCGAAGCCGACGACGATTCCCCCGGTGGGTCCACGTAGTAATTAGAGCAACCATCCATTAATTTCTGGGACCAGAGTCGTGAAGTTTGCTTTTTACGCTCGAACTACAAGCGAATCGAGCCGTATAAGCAAATATGGAAACTGGGAAGTGTGGATAATCTGGTACTTTGCAGTTTTGGAGTTGGAAACTGGATAGTGATTAAAAAGGACTGAGATATTGATTGTGTTGGTTGTGTACTTTTCGTGGGGATGATTTGGTGTATATATGTGACCACAAAAAGGTGACTTGGCAAACAAAAAACGCGCACACGGATACAGGCTGGGTCTATCCTTCCTGGGTTGGGCGGCGGGGGCCAGGCAGACAGTCCAGGGACTGATAGTGCGACAGCTGTCTTACAATTGTACGGCTCTCTTCCTTTTTCGGAAGTTGCGGGTTTGGATTGTGGAATTGTTTGTGTGTGCCAAGTGTGTGGTTTCTGAGTTTTGACTGGATGACTCACACAAACCTCATTTAATAATATATTTGTTTAAAGTGGATGCCGTCAGGGTCAAAGGTCGGTCTCGGTCCCTCATGACACAATCTGTATTTTGCTTGCAAGCCAACAGATGTACTTTCGCACCTGCTGCAGCACTCTGGGGAGACATATTCCTCGCCGATTTGTTGCTCACTTGCTGTTGATTTTATTTTCTCCAAGGCCTTTTTTTAATGTAATTTAAACGTGTGTATTGTTTTGGCTAATTGGTTTGATTCATTCCACAACGTTACTGTGTCCACTGGTTAAAGGAGTCTTCGAGTTCAAATTACACTTTGACGAGATAATATTGTCATGGACTTGTTTGGACCTGTTTTTAAAATAGTTGAAAATGGATTTTTGTGAAAATAGTTTTGGAATTATTTCTATGCTTTTGGAACATACAAACAACTTCTTTTAAAACACTTTCAGTTATTTTAAAAACACTTGTAAACAAACCTTACATTTGTAGCAAGTCTGATACTAAATTGCTACTCATTGTTACTTGTTCTGAATAAATTACTGATCTTTTAAAAGTAGCATCGTAAAATATGTTTGATGTTATGTGAAAAAAGTAATTAATAATAATAGTGTCTTTTAATTTCATCAAATAATAAGAAGATTTATCTTTTGAGTGACACCAAGTGAACAAATAATCTTTTGGAGGTCCAATAAAATACTCCAATCGAAAAAGTAGACCTTCAAATAAAAATCAAAACATCGGCGAGTATGACCGAGCATGGAAGAGAAGCTCGTAGGAAGCTACTTCAGAATGCATTGGAGACAAGGGGCGGTGGTGACGTGGCGACAAGTACAAGCAAAAACGGTTGACAGTTAATAACTTAACTCAACCGAAAATGCTTTTAGAAATTATTGAAGACTTAATTAGTTGCTAAGTTTACAGAGCAAATCCAGTGTGCTATCCGCGTAAACGCGTGAACCACGTGCCTCATTAACCTGTCCTAATTTGTCTCGATCAATACTTGGTACTGAACAATTAGTACTTAATTTCACTGACCATCTATGTGGACCAATAAGTTTAACCCATCTGTCAATCCAAGAACCTTGCCATCTCTGTAACCAAACACAAATCCATGCTTTAAACCCGTGACCAAACAATCGTCTTCCTCCTCTCCAACAAGTCTGCGAAGATCTTCATAGCCGGCCACCGTGACCTAGTCGGCTCCGCCGTTTCAAGACTTCACCAATCTTGTCCTCCACAGCCACGCTGAGCTCGATCGTCGGCGATTCGTAATCCTTGTTGTCGCAAGTCGGCGGCATCCACCTCAAACCCACATATTTGCGTCGTCGTCAATATCATTGCAGCGATGGAATCAACGGTTGGAAGAGGGATTGTGGCGGGGGTGAGATCAATGGAGGAGAGAAGAAACCATAGTCATGGCATGGTAGATTAGCGAACATCAGAGAAGAAGAGTTCTGTTTGGTGTTGGGTTTAAAGGGTTGGTTTGCGTTTGGTAATGAAGATAACGATAATGTTGATATTGACATATGTCTTAAATTTATTGGGCCACGTAGATTGTCAGTGAAATTGGATACTGACTATTCAGTACCCAATTTTACGCACTTCTTACGTGCTCCAATAATGCTAATGAGTAGAGTACATTTTACTCCCTCAAGTTTGAATATAATTACAACTTCTTACAACATTTTTAAAACATTTAGTTTCATACATTTATTTTTATTTAATTTAAATTTCATACGTTCATTAAAAAATCTGTTAGAGCATCTCCAAAAGAGATGTCAAAACTACCACGTAGGTATATAACAGTAAAAATTGGCAGCAAACTCTCTCCAACTGAGCCTTCAATTTCCTACATGGAACTGAGTCAATTAAAGGCAAAGTATTTTGCTGTCAAATCCATTTAATATTTTTTTAGTATATTTAATGGAAATATAATAAATATGGTTGTGTATTTTAAGAATTTGATTGGTTGCCTACTTAAATGTACCCCACAAAGTGATTAAAAAATTTTAGAATGACATTATTATTTAGGGAACTTTAACGAAAAGCTAATGATATTGTTCACTTTAACAAAAAACCATATTTTTACACTAAAAAGTCAATCCTGTTATTATTCACATTACTCTTTATTTTGTCCAAATCCATTTTCATTAGTTTTCCTTATTATTTAACATATCGGTTGGACCCCACAAAGTAATTAAAAAATTTTAGAATGACATTATTATTTAGGGAACTTTAACGAAAAGCTCATGATACTGTTCACTTTAACAAAAACCAACATTTTTACACTAAAAAATCAATCCTGGTATTATTCACCTTACCCTTTATTTTGTTCGAAGTCATTTTCATTAGTTTTCCTTATTATTTAACATATCGGTTGGATCCCACAAAGTGATTAAAAAAATTTAGAATGACATTATTATTTAGGGAACTTTAACGAAAATCTCATGATACTGTTCACTTTAACAAAAACCCACATTTTTACACTAAAAAATCAATCATGGTATTATTCACCTTACCCTTTATTTTGTTCGAAGTCATTTTCATTAGTTTTCCTTATTATTTAACATATCGGTTGGACCCCACAAAGTGATTAAAAAATTTTAGAATGACATTATTATTTAGGGAACTTTAACGAAAAGCTCATGATACTGTTCATTTTAACAAAAAATCACATTTTTACACTAAAAAGTCAATCATGGTATTATTCACCTTACCTTTTATTTTGTCCGAAGCCATTTTCATTAGTTTTCCTTATTATTTAATATATCGGTTGGATCAAAAAATTGTACAAAATGCCAAATTAACACATAAGCCATCAAATATCAATTTAATGTTTTAAATTTGACATCTTATTTGGAGATACTCTTAATTTCTCCAGTAAATGGTGATGTGACAAATATAGAGCCCATCTGTTTTGATGACGAGACAAATAAAAATAATTAAATATTAAAAAATTAAGGGAAAAAAAAAGGAAAAATGAGACCTCCACGCCTTTCTTTCGCCTGATCTCCTTTCTCCAGCAATCTCTCCCTACATCTCCACCTTCTACTCTGCATCTCTATCTTCCATCGTCTATTGTTCCTTTTTCTTCTGACCATTCAATTTATTAGTATACCTCAAATATTAATTATATGTTCCACACCACTGGACCTTGTCTTCCTGGACTTGCCAAACAACCTTGGGATATCGAACCCAGACGGGAACGAACCCCGAGGTATGGCGGCGTCATTTCGAAAGTGGGTGTCGCGAATTACTTCTCATAGATGCAGCGAGAGGAGTTTGGCAAGGTCGGTGTTTGCCGATTGGAGTTTGAGTGTTCTCGCTGGGGAGTGAATCGAGCTCGTTAGTGAGGTCACGAAATGCCTCGGGTGCAGGCCACGTCTGTAGAAAAAAGATATATGGGCTGAAAAGTATGTTTCATCGATGCGTGAATAAGTATATGTACAATTACATTCCTTGCATAGCAAGGATTATTCCTACGAGTTAGGAATACAATCATAATTTAATTCTAACTATTTTCCTACTTGTCTAACACTCCCACTCAAGTTGGAGAGTGGATGTCAAGAACTCTCAACTTGCGTAACATAGTTGAAAATTTTTCCTTTCCTAGAGGCTTGGTGAACAAGTCCGCCAATTGGTGCGCCGTACCGACATACTTGGTCATTATAGTGCCATCTACAATCTTATCTCTTATAAAGTGACAATTCATCTCCATGTGACAAGTCGGCTCATGAAAAACAGGATTAGCGGCTATATGCAATGCCGCTTGATTATCACAAAATAAAACGGAAGGGCCAACTAAGGGAATGTTCAAATCCTTCAACAAAAACCGAAGCCAAATTACCTCACAACAAGCACCTGCCATAGCCTTATATTCCGCTTTAGCTGAAGAGAGTGAAACCATTTTCTGTCGCTTCGTCTGCCACGAAATCAAAGATTTTCCCAACAATACACAATACCCAATAGTTGAACGGCGAGTGATAGGACAACCCACCCAATCAAAGTCACAAAATGCAGCTAACTTGATCTGGTTGTCAGAACGAAATTATAAGCCTTGACCTGGAGTAGACTTCAAATAACGAACAACTCAAAGCGCATCATCCTTATGAGGTATCCGTGGCTCCGTGCATGAAACGACTCAGAACATGTACAAGATAGGTAATATCCGGCCGGGTTATAGTGAGGTAGATTAACCGTCCTATTAAACGCCGATACTTTTTAGGATCCTTGAGAAGTTCTCCTTTATCAGATAATTTTGTATCGTCCATAGGAAATGCAATGGGTCGTGCTCCCAAAAAAACCATAATCCTTGAGAATCTCTAATGCATACTTAATTACGTTGAGAAATGTAAATCCCACATTTGGATCAAGAAACCTCAATACCCAAAAAATATTTTAAATCACCAAGGTCTTTATCCGAAAATGATCACGGAGAAAAGATTTTAGATAATCAATGGCACTCACGACGTTGCCTGTAATTACAATATCATCCACATAAATGAGCAAGGATGTGAAAGAAGTGCCTAACTTTTTGGTAAACAATGAATTGTCAGCTTTGAATTGTTGAAACCCAGCATAAAAAAATGGCATTAGTGAACTTGGCAAACCCTTGGCGAGAAGCCTACTTGAGATTGTAAAGGAACTTGTGAAGGTGACACACAAGATTCTCCCCCTATCGTTGAAGACCAGGAGGAGGAGACATAAAAATTTCCTCATTCAAGTGACCATGCAAGAAATCATTATTACTCATG